CTTTAATAACAGCAGCAATTAACAGGGAAGTTTTTCCCTGGGCTTTTATCCAACTGCATCAAAGCATGCTATAAATCCTGGAGCTTCTTGAAGGAGCCTTTACCCTTCGCTTTCCAAGGAGCCTGAGACCCAGGCTGACTGTGGCTGCAGGGGCTCCCTGGAGAGCGCAGCGGGGGGCTCAGAACGATGTGGGGGTTCTGGCTATGGGGGGGCGGGGGGGCTCTCCCCCCCCCCCCCCCTGCCTCTCCCTTGCAGGATGGACCTCCCTGAGCCCGCAGGTCCTGCTGCCCTCCCCAAGCATATCCTGGACGTCTGGGTCATCGTCTTGATCATCCTGGCCACCATCCTCATCATGACAGCCCTGGTGCTCTGCCCAGCCACCGCCGTCATCATCTACCGGGTACGGACTCACCCCACACGCAACGGCATTGTGTGAGGTGGGGGCGACGAGGGATCCGGCGCCAGGGACCCCGCAGAGCCTGATGGGGCACCTCGAGAGCTGGGGAGAGATGGGCAGGAGCTGGAGTGGACCAGCAGCTGGGTGCCTCCCTCTGCACCCGGCTCTCGCTGGGTGAACCTACCCCCTCCTATTTACCCACTGAGCTCACGGGGACTGTCAGGGAGATGGCCTAGGCATCAGCGAGGAGATGTGTGACTTTGCAGATGTGTCCAGGTAGAAACGACTCCCTCCAGCGAGACAAGGAGGCTTGTCTCACCTTTGCTAGCAACCTCATCTCCTCCCAGGCAAGCAGCAAGGAGAGGAAATGCCTGGCAAAGTTTCTTCTTTTGCTGCTGGGGTGGTTGGGAAGGAAGGGTCAAAGCAAGATGGATATGGCTTCTGGTTTTGTATTCAGAGACTCGGCTAAAAGCATTGGTGACAGAGCCCATCCTGGCTGCACAGCAGACGTGCAGCTGGCACCGGCTCCTCCTCTGTCAGGTATCTGCTGAAACTGTAGGAAAACCCTACGGAGCACTCAGTTTCTCTGGGTCTCACGGGGCAGAGGAGCGTGGGCAGCTCTGGCCAGCCTGCCTGCCTGCACGCTGGCTGCACTTGGTGCTTCTGTGGTGGTGAGGGCCCCCGGCGCTCGCCTGGCACAACGGCTCTGTTGGGGGGGCGTCTGTGCACCCCTTTGCCTGGGCAGGCAAAGTAGGGGGAGCAGAGGGCTTTGTGCCCAGGCAGTGGCAATGGACCATGGAGGCTCTTCCATGGCCCCTTGCTATGGAATAAATGGACTTTATTCTACACACAAGCTTGTCATGTGGCTCTGTCCACAACATGAATGGTGTGTGAGTGCCCATGCATGTGATCTGACGTACTTTGCAGCCTCTCCAGAAACCCTGCACTGACCTCCTGCACCGCCTTGGCTTGAGGTCCACGGGGTTCTTGCCCCAGCCTTTGAGCCCAGTGGCTGCAGCCCCATGGGAGGCTCACTGCCAGCCCGGCCAGGGGTGCTCCAGGGGTGCAAACCTGAATCTGGCTGATAGTGGTTGCGACCATCAGACAGCAAGCGGGAAAGAGCTCCGGGGACTTTCTGACAGCGACAACGGCTGCTTTTCTCCTGCTCGGGTGATCGGCATCGCTTCCGCCAACTGGCTTCATACCAGGCTCTGGCATGTGGCAGGAGTACTGGGGTCTGAACAGGATCCCAGTGACTCACGGTGAGAAAGATCACGAATAATGAGATGAATCAGGCCAGGATGTGGGGAAATGCTACAGTGATGCTGGTGGGGATTGTTTAAATTCCATTTTCTGTGCTGGAAAGAGCAACCAGCCCCACGGTACTGGAAGCCCTGCCTCCTGTCCCTGTGCGGCTTGATCCGCAACAGCCAGGGGAAGGCAATTCCCAGGGAAGCAGGACCCTGGGTGAACATTTCCCTCCCCTGGGAGGGAGCCCAGCACGGGACAAAGCCCCTGGGGAGCAGAAACGCCTGCGCCAGAGCTGCAGGCTGCGGTTGTGCCGGGGCGCGGGAGTGGACACGTATTCCTTGTCTGGCCCAGAAATAAATTTCTGTTCTGAGCTGTTGTCTTTTTCTCTCCCCTCACAAGTTGCAGAATCTGAGGCAAAGATCTGGTTATTTTCCTGTTGTTCCCCTGTCTCCTTCCCTTGCTGGCACGGTGCAGTGGCAGCTGGAGTTGATTAAGGCAGTGCTGGGTGGGAGCAGCCCCAGCTCCACTTCCCCCCAAGCTCTATCCTGGTGTCCCTTCCCTGGGGGGAAGGATGTGGGGACAGCCAGTGGCATCTGACACCACAGGCAGCTTTGTTGTAAGAGGGGCAGGGAAGAAGCCACAACATTTTGGAGTGGTTTGAGAATTTCCACCTCCCCGTGCCCCTTGTCAGCCAGGGGCTGCGAAAGGTTTCCTTTCATGGTAGCAGTTTTCTGGGAAGTTTCAAGTTCGTGGCAAAACATTTCCAGGAAAGGCGTTGCAATGCCTTGGAAAGATGGGTTTGTTCGTGACAACAACAAACTACACAGAGCAAAATTGCGAGGAGAAGCCAGGACATTTTTAAAGCATGAAAATAGGGAGGATGGATTTAGACTGATGTGCACTGTCCAACTGGAAATTCCTCTTCCAGGACTGAGCAAGATAAGCAAATCCCTCCACGGCCCTGGCTTCGGTGCCTAAACAATGCTGGAGCTTGAAGGCAGCGTTTGTATGGTGTCTCACTGAGGAAAAATGCCTTTTCCTGCCCGATGAGGAGCGGGTCGTGCGGTGGTGACGCTGAGGCAGGCAGGTGCGATGTGGGTGCCAAAGGTGATTCAGTATCCGCTGGGATGCTTCCCGGCCAGCACTGGTGGGTGCCCGAGTACGGAGGGATC